ATCGATGACCTCGCCAGTAACATGGAGACGGTCTCCAAAGCCAAGGTTTTTGTGAACTTGTCCCCTTTTCATTTGCAACAATTCAAAATTATAGAGTTTATACATGAATATATCTAATCTAACTGTACAAACTTTAAATGTTATTTTATTTTTTTAATTTAAATTCTATTAACATACAATGTATTATTAGTTTCAGAGACAGGTCAATGATTTATCAGTTGCATATAACACCCAGTGCTCATTACATCACGTGCCCTCTTTAATGCCCGTCACCCAGGTACCTCATCCCTCCACCCCCCTCCCCTCCAGCAACCCTTAGTTTGTTTCCTATGATTAAGACTCTTGTGGTTTGTCTCCCTGTCTGGTTTCGTCTTGTTTTATTTTTCCCTCCCTACCCTCATGATCCTCTGTTTTGTTTCTTAAATTCCACATAGGAGTAAGATCATATGGTAATTGTCTTTCTCTGATTGACTTATTTTTCTTGGCATAATACCCTCTAGTTCCATCCACGTCATTGCAAATGGCAAGATTTCATTTTTTTGATGGTTGAGTAGTATTCCATTGTGTGTGTGCATGTATACACAGCACATCTTTATCCATTCATCTATCAATGGACATCTGGGCTCTTTCCATAGTTTGACTATTGTGGATACTGCTGCTATGTTATCTCACTTTAAAATTATTCCTCTTATGCCTATTAGACATCACTATATTGAAATGAATCATTCAGTCTTCCTACCTGACTTGTAGAAATCATGTTAACTTTTATCCCCATGACTATGAAAGAATGCAGTTTCAGAAAAAAAATTATCTAAAAACCATACTCCACATGATGCAGAATTTAAATGATGTTCATGTTTTCCAAAGACAATAATCCAGTTTTCATAACTATTTATTTATTCATGTAGCCCAAATTATGTGCCTCTATATCCAGGGCACTGTGGTGGGCTTTGGAGTGGCTAGAAAAGTAAATACAGCTCAGCTCCTTTCCACAAGTAGTTATCTCCAAATGCAGACTTACAAATAAAAATGTACCATCTTTTCCCGTTTTCTACTTCCCACCACAGGGAAACCTCGAGAAAACATGCCGCACCCTGGAGGACCAGCTTAGTGAAGTGAAAACGAAGGAAGAGGAACAGCAACGCCTCATCAATGAGTTGTCAGCCCAGAAGGCTCGTTTACACACAGAATCAGGTCAGTGGGCACACACAGCCAGCACGCAGAGAGCCAAAGAACGAAAGGCAAGCCTCCACTTGTGAACACCTCCTAACACCCATCATTTCTTAAGCCGCGCACGCTCATTTATCATTCACTTGTCATTCCTTCTTCTTTTTATTGAGAGGTGGTAAAAAGGATGATTATAAGCTATAACTGGAAGAAAATTAAGCTTCCTGGGCTGAGGAAATTTTTTGCTACCTCAGCATTACTCGAAAGAAAGAAAGACAGACCTTAAAATATCAAAGAAAGCTCACATTTTTTTAATTAATTTATTTGACACAGAGACAGAGAGAGCAAGAGCAGGAACACAAGCAGGGGTAGAGGGGAAGGGAGAAGCAGACTCCCCGCTGAGCAGGGAGCCCGATGGGGGACTCGATCCCAGGATCATGACCCGAGCTGAAGACAGATGCTTAACAACCGAGCCACCCAGGTGCCCCAAAGCTCACATTTTTGAAAAAGCAAGAAATAACCTTCTCAACCACATCAAAGTTTTTGAGCTATTCTTTTCATCATGGAGTAAGAAGAGTTCTAATGTTATCATATTTTTTAAATTAGTCTTCCATCTAGATGACAGAACTAAATCATTCACATTGTCTTTCACAGGTGAATTTTCACGACAGCTAGATGAGAAAGAAGCTCTGGTGTCTCAGCTATCACGAGGCAAACAAGCATTTACACAACAGATTGAGGAATTAAAGAGGCAGCTGGAAGAGGAGTCTAAGGTGAGAATTCTCTGAGACTTTCAATCACTTGAACTTTGTAGCGTGACACACTACTGAACTTCACTTACAGAATATCAATGACCAGAACATAAATGTACAATGCACACTTTTTGGTTGGTCCAGGCCAAGAACGCCCTGGCCCACGCCCTGCAGTCCTCCCGCCACGACTGTGACCTGCTGCGGGAACAGTATGAGGAGGAGCAGGAATCCAAGGCCGAGCTGCAGAGGGCGCTGTCCAAGGCTAACAGCGAGGTGGCCCAGTGGAGGACCAAATACGAGACGGACGCCATCCAGCGCACGGAGGAGCTAGAGGAGGCCAAGTATGGGCTCTTAATGATGGAGGCAGAAAGAAAAGTTTAAAGGCAGTGAAGGAAAAATAATAATATTTCAGGCATGAAGATAGGAGGAATATTTCAGCCTATCTGATTATACAGTGGTGGAAACCACCATCTTCTCCTTACAGACCAGTCATGTCCACTGAAGAATGGGCCGAGACCACAGCTCTCCCTACATTTTGGTCTATTACAAAAATACCTTAAATTTCTTTCCACCAAAATGAATTAAAATTATCAGCATACCCTTTATGAATTAAGTAGAATTAATTTCCTTCAATATAAGGAAAAATGGAGACAGTGGTCTATTATGAATATTATAATTAACAATAATCAGTTTATCCCTACCTAGAGGTTCAAAATAAGACTATCATACTCTGTCATTTAACTAAGAACCAGTATCAATAAACTGATTCACTAATTACACACACTTTTATGGAATAAAACTCATGGGAGTGACACATGGAAGGGAAATAATCATTATGTTCCCAGTGAAGGAAGCTTCTCTAAATTGCATTTATGTCAGTAGTTGCTAGAATTACACAGAATGAGGAGGTCTGGCGAGCATTTGCAGAGGGAACACTCCAGTTAAGTGTGAGCTGGTGAAGGCAGCAGTAAGACTTTGGAGGGTATTTGGGAAATATAATTCTGGAATAACATTTGCTGTCTGGGGCATGAGACCCAGAAAGTTAGTGATTAATCATAATCATATGACCTTGTACGCATCACTTTGGGCCACAGTTTCATTTATGAAGAGGACCATGTTAAAAAATGCTTAATGACGCTATCCAGTGCTGGCATGCTTGATGATACGCCTCCGGTTCACGGCTGTCACATCCTCACGTTGCTCCCTCGGGTGATGCGGGGAGGGCTGTGGTCTCGGCCCGTTCTTCAGTGGACATGACTGTCTGTAAGGAGAAGATGGTGGTGTCCACCACTGTATAATCAGATAGGCTCATTCTCTCTCTCTCATAATGCATACACCACCACCACCATGCACACAAAAAGGCCTCATGAATATGTTTAACAACCCCTCACATAAAGATAAGAATTCACTAGGGAAAACTAAAGACACAGAATGGGTACTGATAAGACATTTTTAGAAAACCTAAACAATTTGTGGACAGAGAAGCAAAGAATCTTGGGGAAAATATGCTTTCCTAGTCAGCAGCTTTATAAAGTTCACTGTCGTAGCTCTGAATCTGCTCTTGGTCACTCGCACTGACCAACATTTCAGGAAGAAGCTGGCCCAGCGTCTGCAGGATGCTGAGGAACATGTGGAGGCCGTGAATTCCAAATGTGCTTCCCTCGAAAAGACGAAGCAGAGGCTCCAGAATGAGGTAGAGGACCTCATGCTGGACGTGGAGAGATCTAACGCCGCCTGCGCCGCCCTGGACAAGAAGCAGAGGAACTTTGACAAGGTGGCCCACAGTGACCGGCTTCCTGGGGGAAAGTGGCCTGATTCTTGATCACAGAGGCTTAGTTCTGATGTACTTCCAGGTCCTGGCAGAGGGGAAACAGAAGCATGAGGAAACTCAGGCTGAACTTGAGGCCTCCCAGAAGGAGGCCCGCGCACTCAGCACTGAGCTGTTCAAGGTCAAGAACGCCTATGAGGAATCCCTGGATCACCTGGAAACCCTGAAGCGAGAGAACAAGAACTTACAGCGTGAGTCTTTGTAACCATTCCACTTCAAAAGTGGTGGGGAGACATCTTTTCAAGTTTTCATTTTTCTCAACTGAATGTGATATTTTATTATTAACCTATAGAGGAGATTTCAGACCTGACGGAGCAGATTGCAGAGGGGGGAAAGCATATCCATGAATTGGAGAAAGTGAAGAAACAGGTAGATCAAGAGAAGAGTGAACTGCAGGCTGCTCTGGAGGAAGCAGAGGTACATGTTCCATTTGCCCACTTACGCATTATAAACAAACTGAAAAATTAATACCGACTGAGAGCAGCTATCATGTTGCAAAGCTACCGGGGATAACCCCTGTAATTCAGTGAGAAATACTGCATTGTTCCTTGGCAATGCAGACTGAAGAGGCTAAATTAAGATGTATGGAAGTTTGTGGTTTTCTGAATGCCTTCTTCAAGAAAGCATCATATTACATTGGGGAGGGTATGTGCTACGGTGAGCGCTGTGAATTGTGCAAGACTGCTGAATCACAGATCTGTACTTCTGAAACAAGTAACGCAACATATTTTAAGAAAAAAGAAAAAGAAGAAGATAGCAGGAGGGGAAGAATGAAGGGGAGTAAGTCAGAGGGGGAGACGAACCATGAGAGACGATGGACTCTGAAAAACAAACTGAGGGTTCTAGAGGGGAGGAGGGTAGGGGGATGGGCTGGCCTGGTGATGGGTATTAAAGAGGGCACGTTCTGCGTGGAGCACTGGTGTTATGCACAAACAATGAATCATGGAACACTACATCAAAAACTAATGATGTAATATATGGTGATTAACATAACAATAAAAAATTTTTAAAAAAATTGGGAAGAAAAAAAAAGCATCATATTGTGCAAAACAAACAACAAGCTCTCTAGGTAACAACCAGGTAAACACCATCAGAAAGACGTGACTGCAGACTGTTCCCCTATCCCAGGAATGTGGGTTCCACTTGCCTTTCCGGCTCCCAGAGGCTGCTCCAAAGACATAGCCTTGAGACAGTGGTTTGGTGTTAAGAATACCTACATGGTATATGTGACTAAATCTACCTAGCGTCTCTTTGTAAACTTTTAAAATTTGGTGGGCAGATGTGGGGATCCATTCATCCTCCTGCCACCCAAAACTAGCCTCTCATGTAAGTTCCCTTTGCTATTATTAAGCTGCCACCACCAAGCTGGAGTGGCCTGCCTCTTCCTTTGGTCTTCTCCCTGCTCCAAGTACACGGGCCAGTTTCAGATTACACCAGGGAAGATCCCGAGAGGATCAAAAAGCCAAGAGTAACCTAAGTGTTGCTTTTTAAAAAGGGATCTCTTGAGCACGAAGAAGGCAAAATCCTTCGCATCCAGCTTGAGTTAAACCAGGTGAAATCTGAGATTGACCGGAAAATTGCTGAAAAAGATGAAGAAATCGATCAGCTAAAAAGAAACCACATCAGAGTGGTGGAGTCAATGCAGAGCACCCTGGATGCTGAGATCAGGAGCAGGAATGATGCCCTAAGGATCAAGAAGAAAATGGAGGGAGACCTCAATGAGATGGAAATCCAGCTGAACCACGCCAACCGCCAGGCTGCAGAGGCAATAAGGAATCTTAGAAACACACAAGGAATACTGAAGGTACACTGGGATAAACACACATGGTGTCATGCGGTCTGGGTGTTAACCATAATTTATATACCATAAATCTAAATAACATGGTAATCAGTTGAAAATTTTACATACACAACCAAAGAACAGCTTACATCTGGAAAGTCTAAAAGTTCACCTTGTCAGCTGAAGAGAAGACACTGCACAAATCACTTCATTTAGGTGAACTTCATTTGTATAATGTATATATATACACATACATTTTTAAAATCACATATCTATACTTAATATATAGAAAACAACATCATTAGACCAGCTCATCTCTGAGGATGCTTTCCTGATCCAATATTTTATAGCTTTAGCCATGGTTATTTTTTTATGATTTAGGATCTAAACTATAATATCCTGTTCTTTTGAGGAGACCTACTACCCTAGGCTACAAAGAATTTGTCTTTAAAGGGACTTGCAGATTTTCCCTCCCTAATCATACTCTAAGTTATTGAGAACAAAGTATGTACATGACCCAAATGTGTACTCGCTTTAATGAAAGCATGAGTAAGAGTCTTTGCCTCTTTCTGTGTAGGACACTCAGCTACATTTGGACGATGCCATCAGAGGCCAAGATGACCTTAAAGAACAGCTGGCCATGGTGGAGCGCAGAGCCAACCTGCTGCAGGCTGAGACTGAAGAGCTAAGGGCATCCTTGGAGCAGACCGAGAGGAGCAAGAAGGTGGCAGAGCAAGAGCTTCTGGATGCCAGTGAGCGTGTGCAACTCTTGCACACCCAGGTGAGGTTCAGGACTCTGGCTGAGCAAATGCATTCCCTGAAGTTGAAGATAATTTGAGGGGAAAACCTTGGCAAGGTTCCCTTCCTGGAGTTCTGGAAAATGTGTATTACTAAGAAGTACTAGGGCCTAGCCAGTTCACGGGTATATTTATGGGCTGACATAATCATGTTGATTTGACAAAATTTAGAGTTCTAGAAACTTTTGTAAAAAAGCAGAAGGCCTTCTACTAATAACCATATATGTGACATTAGTGGCCATCTTGTCTTTTCCAACTCTAAGCTGCAAATCAATAAGCAAATAAAACAGAGGAAAAAGAATAAGCCACCAAGTTATTTTTATGTATCGTGTGTGCACATGAAGCTAACTACATGAAAGAAGCTCTTCAGTTCAAATTCACAGAAGCCATCATTACTGCTACTCAGCATTTGTTGTTTATAACGCATGTGCTAAAATAAATGGTGGTGTAGCCTCACAAGGCTAATAAGCAGCCATTATAGTATGCACTTATTGCCATGAAAAGATGTTCATAATACGTGAAAAGAGCAACTTAAAAATAATAGATAAGGCATGATCATTTTCGTTGAAAATATATAGGAAACATCCAGGAGGATAAACAAAGTGTTATCAATGGTTATCTCTGGTTACTGAGAGTACAATAATTATTCCTTACCTCTTATTTTGCTAATTTGTATATTATATAAACATATATTATATACTTTTTAAAAATTGCAATATAAGGAAATAGCATCATGGAAATGTTAAAATGACATACTACAAATACTTTTAAATTCAAATTAAAATACAACATTTTTCTTACTCATTTTTAGTATCCTTGAATTAAATATTTCATACTATCAACTTTCCAAAACATAACAGATTCTTGGTTCATTTTTGTACTAATAATGATGCTACTTAGGCTCTTTTTTTTAAAGATTTATTTATTTATTTATTTGAGAGAGCGAGAGAGCACATGAGATGGGGGAGGGTCAGAGGGAGAAGCAGGCTCCCCGCCGAGCAGGGAGCCCGATGCGGGACTCGATCCCGGGACTCCAGGATCACGACCTGAGCCGAAGGCAGTCGCTTAACCGACTGAGCCACCCAGGCGCCCCTACTTACGCTCTTTAAATATAAAGCTAACCAAACATGAATGAACAACTAAAAATTAATAATCCATTTTCCATGAGCTGTGTGGCACTACAGGGTACAGCACTTTAAATTTTTTCTTGGGTCAGGGTTGTGCTTCATGCTTACAAACAGCCACTGATAATGGTCGAACATCTCTGATACCAAAAATCAAATTTTACCTGGAAGAATTTCAGAAAATGTTCATTAACAGAAGTATGGATAAAAAGAAGAGAAGGCATAACTTAAGAGTCAACTTTTGATTTGGTGTTTATTCTGAATTTTCCCTGGATCAAGAATTTTTGCCTGTCTACACTAGTCAAAATGACAATGTAAATAGAATATAATTAAATGTCCTTCCCTTTCTTTTTTTATTAATTTGAAACAGAACACCAGCCTGATCAACACCAAGAAGAAGCTGGAGACAGACATTTCCCAGATCCAGGGAGAGATGGAGGAAATTGTCCAGGAAGCCCGCAACGCAGAGGAGAAGGCCAAGAAGGCCATCACTGATGTGAGCAGAGGGCAACACGGTCCTGGTCAAACTTGAATCCGGATGCGCTAGCTCAGCTCTCTCAACTGGTTTTGTTTTACTGCTCATCAGGCGGCCATGATGGCCGAGGAGCTGAAGAAGGAGCAGGACACCAGCGCCCACCTGGAGCGCATGAAGAAGAACCTGGAGCAGACGGTGAAGGACCTGCAGCACCGTCTGGACGAGGCTGAGCAGCTGGCCCTGAAGGGCGGGAAGAAGCAGATCCAGAAGCTGGAGGCCAGGGTGGGTCCCCATCACTTCATTCAATTCCCAACCTGCTCATACAGCTACTTACAGCCAAATTGCTAAAAGCCTTTGTTCTCTTCCAGGTGAGGGAACTTGAAAATGAGGTTGAAAATGAGCAGAAGCGCAACGTCGAGGCTGTCAAGGGTCTTCGCAAACATGAGAGGAGAGTGAGGGAACTCACTTACCAGGTGACCCGCCTTTCCATATTTCTCACACCTGCTGCTCTCTCAAGAAAATGAAAATAATGAGCCGTTTTCAAATAACACTATTTGCTACCTCTTTCATTTCAGACTGAGGAGGATCGCAAGAACATTCTTAGGCTGCAGGACTTGGTGGACAAATTACAAACCAAAGTTAAAGCTTATAAGAGACAAGCTGAAGAGGCTGTGAGTAGCTCCATAATGACAGAGAAAAGTTCAGGAGAAGTCCTGAACTTCAGGCTTTTGTGGAGCCTGAAGTTTATAGAATTTAAGAGCCTTTCTTTAAGGAAAAAGAGTACAAAATTAGGTATGAAAATGAGTATTTGGAATGAAAAAATTTTACCAGTCATTACTGGAGCCTTAGAGATTCAAGTGCATTTCTTCTGAGAACTCTTTAAGCAATTTTCCAGGCATGTTAGTATAGAAATATTTTTTGGTTACAACTCACTTCCCTATCTAGAACACTCCATCACTCCCAGCAACCTCCAGCACTCACGGGGGCTATGCTAATGAGGGCTCTGAAGTCTTAAGATTTGTTAAATGACTTCACAGTATATCCATCAGAATATTTCTTTTTCATTTGGCTCCTTTCCCATCTTATCATCTTTCTCATCAGAAACTTTCCTTAAGGTTCTCTGCACCCAATACTATCACCATGCCTGCTTTTTAAAGATTCAGATTCCTGCTACTCTGATCTCCCTGTTGTCACTGTAGCATCTTATGTTTGCCAGGAAGAGAATCAAGTGAGAGAGACCGAGCAGGGGGCATTGTGAGCCCACACGTTCAGAGGCAACTAGTGGGATGCCTTGCCCCCAAATAAGTACATGACCAAATAACAGGACATTTTGCTTTCTCATTTACGAAGTAAATCCAGTAGCTGCTCCTAGTAATAAAGGCAGTGAGAATCCGAAAATGTCAAATTTTCTCGTTCTCTGAAATTTCTTTTCTCAGGAGGAACAATCCAATGTCAACCTTGCCAAGTTTCGCAAGATCCAGCACGAGCTGGAGGAGGCCGAGGAACGGGCTGACATTGCTGAGTCCCAGGTCAACAAGCTGCGGGTGAAGAGCCGGGAGGTTCACACGAAAGTCATAAGTGAAGAGTAATCCATTCTTATGCTGAAAGGTGACCACAGAAATGTGCAAACTGTGAAGTTCTTTGTCACTGTCACATGTCACTGTAACATCAAGGCAATAAAATCTGCAGAGAATTTTCCAATCTAAAAATACATGTCTCTCTTAATTACAAGTTTCTGTAATGCTATGAGAACTAATTCATTTCTTCAACGCTTGTAAGCCTCCTAACTGTGCAATCAGATGAGTGTAGTCAGTGAACCAATGTTAACAGAAGGCAAATGTTCTCTGAGGGAATACAAAGGTGGTTAGTGCACCCCCAAATCCATTCAACCAATTCTATTGAGAACCAAGTGTGTGTCTGTACAGAAATGGGCACCAGGGATATGACAGTCGTCCCTGCCTTTGAGGAGCTCAAGCCAGCAGGAGCGACAGCAATTCAAACAGCTCCTAGAAGATGAGTAGACAGTTATCTGGTAAAAGAGAAATGGGGGCGCCTGGGTGGCTCAGTTGGTTGGGCGACTGCCTTCGGCTCAGGTCATGATTCTGGAGTCCTGGGATGGAGTCCCACATCGGGCTCCCTGCTCGGCGGGGAGTCTGCTTCTCCCTCTGACCCTCTTCCCTCTCATGCTCTCTATCTCTCATTCTCTCTCTCTAATAAATAAATAAAATCTTTAAAAAAAAAATAAAGAGAAATGGAACTGGTCATTCTAAGAAGAGAAGACAAGCGTGAGATTTCAGAGTAGTTTGAGCATAGGCCCCAGCCAGAGAGGGAAGGCCTGCCTGTGAAGGGAACAGCCTCCTGTGTGGTGCTGAGGAAATCAGGATATGCATGGACCTGGTGAGATTTCATGAGAAAGAAAGCTGACCCATCTCTGGCAGTAGCCCAGAGGATGGAGCAGGAGAGGAAAGACCAGAGCCTAGAGACTGCTGAGGCTATGAAAATGATCCAGATTAGAGGTGACAGTGATGGCAACAAACAAGAATGCAGAACGCAAGCAGGCTTCCAATACCGGTCCAAGGAAAGGACTGGAAGAGCACTGAGAAGTAAATCAGTTTCACGGCCTTCAAACTTCCCAGTTAGCTTGTGATTATACATTTTACTTCCTTTTGTGGGAAATTCTCTTCCTCTGAACCCCTCCAAGTAAAGGGACAGAACTTCTTAGTCCTAATCTCTACATACAAGTCTACTTACCAAGCCAAAGGAACCTGATTTTTCTCAGTACCATACCTATTTTCAGGAGGAATCAGAAAGGGAATTTATTTATTAATATCAAAAAGAATGTGACTGAGATTACACCATAGCCATTGCCAGAGTGGTCTTTTCTTTGATGCTTTTTTAAAGCCTACCACTTGGCTGCATTGTGTAAGATATTTTAAAAATAAGATAATAGAATTCCAATTTATTCTTTTATGGTGGTGGATATCCCTTCCTAACAAGGTGGCTGCTTCAAGGAATCTCCTTCCCCAGTGTGAGAATCCTAATTAGTAATGAGAAGCCTGCTTCATGAGAAGAGGATTTAAGAGGGGTAAAAAGTAATTAATAAGGAATATTTAACATAGGCCATGATGAAGACTAATGAAATATCCTGCAGAGGGTAGGCATTTATTATCAAATTTTAATTAAACTCTGTAGAGTTAACCTACTGACCTCAAAAGCACAGGGCAATTGCTTTATTATTCTTTCTCCTAACTATTTAAATAATTGCTTATGTAGAGAGTTGGGAGTGGATTTCATTATGTATGGGTCGATTATCCTGGGGTCCCTGATTAAAGCAGCAAGGATTTAGAGTCACAAGAAACTCTGATTAATATTCTTCCTTACCTCCCTCACAGATTAGATGACTTATAGATGTATTTCCTTCTCTCTCACAACAAAGCCACACATGAAAATACAGAAATGTTTATAACACTCTTGCCTTGCCTTTCATTGAGGTGTGGGAACTGTCCCTAACCTACTGATGCGGGATATGAGGACCCAAATGGGATGCATGCAGGGAGGAGGGAAGAGGCAGGAGGCAGGAGACTGTCTCTGAGAACAACTCTGAATTAGGAGCAAGAGGGAGTTTACTCCTCCCAGACAGTAACACTAGGACTTACTGTGATGGGGAGAAACTGAGACTGGAAGGAGACTTTGGGCTGTCACAAAGGGCAACCTTGAGATAACTATAGATAAACCTACATAAAGCATATAAGTAAGGAACTAGGCAGAGATGGCCATGCCCTAGTATTTTTGGTATCCAGCCAGGCATTGTTACACTAATAAAATCTAAGAATCTGTAATAAGACCAGATTCTTTACTTCTTTATCTTCTAAGGACTTCAAGACCATGGTTACTGAAAGCAAATACTGGTACCATTCACATACTGCTACTTGAAAATACCATGAATCTTTTTCCCCAACTCAATTCATAACCAAACAGGTATCAAGAACAAAAGAAATCTCAAGATCCCTCTCCTCTGAAACATTACCTCCCCTTCTCTTTTATATGTAAATCTCCCACTGTGAGACTGAAATCTTTAGCATCCTGAAAGATGCTTATTTAACCTCCTATTAAATTCCTCGTAAATATATTAATTTCCACTAACACCCTAGCTAGCATTACTGGATAATCAGCTGAGAAAGCATCTAAAGAAAGAGGTCTCTTGAGATGTGCCTGAAGGGAGGGAAACGGGGAGATGTAAAAAGTGCCTCTACAAAAACCATCTGCCTGCACTGAGGCCTGACCCTGGGCATCCAGACGCCTGACACCTTTCCTCATGAGGCTAGGGTCTATGTGAGCCTCCACATCAGGGGCTCTCAAATTCAGCATGCATCAGAACTATCTGGAGGCCTTGCTAAAACACAGATTAGGGGGCCCCACCTCCTGAGCTTCTAATTGAGTAGGTCTAGGTTGGGCCCCAAGAATTTGCATTTCTAACAAGTTTCCAGGTGATACTAATGTAGCTAGTCCAGGACGACACTGAAAACCAGAGTTCTACATTATCACCAAATCTCTTAAAAGGAATTACACATGATAACCTATACCGTGTTTATACCTATAAATTTAGCTAAACCTCTCTGGGCCTGCCATGTAACAAGTGTGCAAGAAATATTTGTGGGAATGCATAATAACTTAAGAAGAACTTAATCTGTTCCAGGCACTGGGCTAGGTATTTTACATTTATCACCCAAAAAAAAATAATCCTAAAGCAAAGGGTGTTCTAGTACCTTTATCTAGTAATTGATTAAAAAAAAAAATCAGTAAGAAGACATCTATTTCCAGGAAAATGGAGTTGACCTACTTTTCCCTCCCACTAAGTGCTATTAAACCCCTGGACATTATATATAAACCTAACACAAAAGATTCTGAATGGTGGAGAAAAGTAGATGGACTAGGTAAGTTCCCTGAGTTTTCTTTTTGCCTCATATGCCCCAGACTTGAAGAAACAGACAACACAGAAACACCAACAGGTGCAGACAAAAAAGCCCCATAAAAAGCCTACTCTCTCTAGTCAAAGGATAAAATAATGGGCAGCCTAGCAAGGTTGGTTTAACATTCAAAATTCAGTATAATTCAGCATATTCACAGAATAAAAGTGAACATTGTATGATCATCTCAATAGAGGCAGTAAAATGATTTGACAATATCCAGCACCCATTCATGATTTAAAAAACAAAAACTCTCAGGGCAACTGGGTGGCTCAGTCTGCTGAGTGGCTGACTCTTATTTCAGTGCAGGTCATGATCTCAGGGTCCTGGGATGGAGCCCTACACCTGGCTCTGTGCTCAGTGGAGAGTCTGCTCGAGGATTCTCCTCCCTCTGCCCCCACCCCTGACTCATGCTCTCTCACTTTCTCTAAAATAATACAAATAAATTTTTTAAAACACTCTCAGCAAACTAGCAATAAAAAAAGGACTTTCTCAATCTACGCAACAGGCACCTACTAAAGAAAAGTGGGGGGGGGGGGCGCCTGGGTGGCTCAGTTGTTAAGCGTCTGCCTTCGGCTCAGGTCATGATCCCGGGGTCCTGGGATCGAGCCCCCCATCGGGCTCCCTGCTCCACGGAAGCCTGCTTCTCCCTCTCCCACTCCCCCTGCTTGTGTTCCCTCTCCCACTGTGTCTCTCTTTGTCAAATAAATAAATAAAATCTTTAAAAAAACAAAAAACAGCACAGGGGCTTCTGGGTGGCTCAGTCAGTTAAGCGGCTGCCTTCGGCCCAGATCATGATCTCAGGGTCAGGGTCCTGGGATCCTGGGAGCATTGGGCTCTCTGCTCAGCAGGGAGTCTGCTTCTCCCTCTCCCTCTCCCTCTCCCTCTGCCCCTCCCCCTGCTCATGTGTGCTCTCTCTCTCTCAAATAAATAAAATCTTTACAAAAAACAGCAGAGCTAAAATATCGTGCTTAACAATGAAATAGTGAAGACTTTCTACCTAAGATTGGCACTAAGGAAATGATATCCACTTTCAACATGTCTAGCTAACTACATTGGAAGTCCTAGCTAATGTAGTAAGATGAGAAAAGGAAATAAAAGACATAGACATTGAAAAAAAAAAAAGAGAGGTAAAACTGTCTTTATTTGCAGATGACAAAATTGCATAGAATAGTTAAATAAGTCTACAAAAAACTACTTAATCCAAGAAGTAAACTGAGCATGTATTAAACTATAAGGTCAGTATATAAAAATAAGTTTTATTTTTATATTGATAGCAAACAATTGGAAAGTGAAATTCTAAAAATCAATACCATTTACAATAGCATCAAAGAAATCACAAAATATTCTAGGAATAAGCTTAATAAAAAAATTTTTATAACCTCTACATTATAAACTATAAATCATTGCTGAGAGAAAGTAAAGAATATCTAAATAAATTATACACACATGTACATACACACCCACACACACACACACATACATGGAAAGAGGGGGAGAGAGAGACAATTATCTTGGTTTGGAAGACTCAAGAGCGTAAGTCTGTCAATTCTCTCCAAGTTGATCTAAATATTTAATGTAACCCTAATCAAAATCCCATCAGACATTTTTTTTTGAGAAAT